GTATAGTCATATCTCAAAAAACCTACTTCCTATTTATTCTCTCTCCATAACCCTCTCTCTACGTATATTTTTCATTTCCCTCTCTCTTTTTCTCCTTATATTTGTTTTTCTATCTCTCCTATTTCTCTCTCACGGTTTAGTGGAATTAATTGCAATTATACACAAAAATCAGTGGGATGAGAAGGTAAGGTTGATCTCACACCAGAGAAAATCAGAAGCAAAAATTAAGAGAGAAAATAGGAAAAAATATAGTTCAACTTTGTTTTTCTTCTCTTTTTTTTTGTTAGATTGAACGAGTGAGTGTGATTGAAATTAATTGAAAATACCTTGACGAGGCTATATACAAAATTTGAGCAAGATTAGAAGTGAATTAGACTCGTTTCGAGTATAAAATCAGGCCTAAAATTCCAACTGCGATATATGTATATCACGTTGTATATCGTATATATCAGTGTATATAACACACAGGTTCTTATGGACGTCTGTGTATATCACATTGTTTATCGTGTATATAACATAGATTTTCATGGATATACACAGATACACATGATATTCATGAGATACCACTGATGTACATGGGGATATACATGTGATACAATGGGGGATACACAGATAGAGTCGTCTTGAAACTTGAGTTTTCAATCTAAAATGTGTTATACTGATGTTTGGCTATAATGCTATATTTGTAGTGTATTATTTACCTTATATTTTGGTATTTTAATGATTAATTGTTCAATGTTTGAGCTTAATTGAGTTATTTTTATATGTAGGATTATTAAAATGCATAAAGGAATTAAAGTTGCACAAAAAGATATTGAAGACACAAGAAAAGAGCACAAAAGGAGAAAATCGGAGCAAGGCAAGGATACCTTGCCCCGCTTGGCTTAAGGCGCGCTCAACCTCGCCCTGCCAGGACTATGGCGCGCTACTGACCAGGCCTTGCCTGGCTTAAGGCCTGGTCCCCCAATCCACGAATAAATTATTTTCTACTCAGTTTTAGACTTGGAGACTTTGACCTTAGCCTATAAATACTCCCTAAACATGTCTAAGAAGGGAGTTGGACGTTTTTGAGAGGGGGATTTGACCGAGGAAGAGCACGAGCCACCGTGGAAGCCGAAATTCATCAAATTCTATCTTTCTTCCGCCAACCTTAGTAATTTTAAAGTTTCTTTGTATGATTTGTTATTTTGCTACCATGTCTATGTGAAGCTAAACTTCATATTCTAGGGTTGTGGTTCTTTCATGACTATTGTTCTTGGGATATTGATTTTGATTTCTTAATTTATCATATTGGTTTAT